ACAGCACCGCCTTCTTCCTTTCCTGGTTTACCTGCATCTACCCATCCTTCCACCCCTCACCTCCTCTGAAAAGGTCTGTACCAAATTCAGGTCAGTACTGCACCGTTCAGGGCATCCAGTCACTTCACGTTTTTGTTTCAATTTCAACAGTCAGTCCCCTGAAGGCAGGGACGCGGAGCGTTACGTGGGTCCCTCCCTGTTCCTGGGGCGGCCCTGACCCACAGCCGTGAACTCAACTCTTAGAGGACAAAGGCTGCTTTGACACCAACGCACCTTATCACGACGTCGAACTGGTTGAGGGCATGGCCCAGCTCCAGGCCGTGCAGGATCCCGCCGCTGCCGATCACCACGCAGCGCCTGCAGCTCTTGGCTTTCAAGTGTTCAGGGAAGTCGTGCTCAGGCAAGATTTCCAAGAGGGTCTGGACTTTACTGGAGAACTTGCGGAATCCGAAAGGAGGGTCGTACTTGTACTCGGCCTCGGTCCCTTTGGGGCCCTTCCTCACGAAGGGCGGTAAGTCCGTGCTGTACCTGGGCCCGAAGAGCTGTGCCATTGACCTCTTGGCAAAGTGGGGCCTGCATTCCCTCTGCAGCACCTGCTGGGCGTACTTCTGGGCTCTCTGGAACGAATCATACACATCTGAGCTTAAAAGGGTCGCAGGCACTGAAACACACTCGTACAGACGACACCCTGTCCTGCGATGTCTGATGCAGCTTCCTTACTGACGACTGTCTTTTAACACAAAATATCTGCTTTTCTTTTTTTCAGTGGAGGTACCGGGGACTGAACCCAGGACCTCGTGCATGCTAAGCATGTGCTCTACCACTGAGCTATTTCCCTCCTCCTGAAACATCTGCTTTTAAGAGCTAATTTACGCTGCTGGCGGGAATGTAGTTTGGTGCAGCTGTTATGGGAAACAGTATGGAGATTCCTCGAAAGACTAAAAACAGACTTACTCTATGATCCAGCAATCCCACTCCTGGGCATTTATCTAGAGGGAGCCTTAATTCAAAAAGATACATGCACCCCAATGTTCATAGCAGCACTATTTACAATAGTCTAGATATGGAAACAACCTAAATGTCCATCGACAGATGACTGGATAAAGAAGTTGTGATATATTTATACAATGGAATACTACTCAGACCAATAAAAAA